TCCAAAAGCGCCCACCCACAACCAGTTGTTCTACCGCGATCTACCAACTTGGTCCCGCTGTGGTTTTTCCCCAAACTGTATGGGGTTGTCTTACTCCTTTCAAAGGGTTGCATCCCTGGGCCGCATGATTTTGCCTCTGTCTCCGGGCTTGCATCCCACTCTGGGTGCCTTGGGCCGCATGAGTTACACCTGTCTGCCACTCTGGGTGCCTTGGGCCGCATGAGTTTACAGCTTACACTTGTCTCCCACACTCGTCTCCCACACTTGTCTTTCACACTTGTCTCGCACTCTGCGTGCCTTGGGCCGCATGAATTTACACTTGTCTTCCATTTGTCTCCCACACTTGTCTCCCACACTTGTCTCCCACTCTGGGTGCCTTGGGCCGCATGAGTTTACACTTGTCTCCCACTTGTCCCTCACACTTGTCTCCCCCTCTGGGTGCCTTGGGCCGCATGAGTTTACACTTGTCTCCCACTTGTCTCCCACACTTGTCTCCCACTCTGGGTGTCTTGGGCCGCATGATTTTACACTTGTCTCCCACTTGTCTCCCACACGTATCTCCCACTCTGGATGTCTGGGCGCGCATGAGTTTACACTTGTCTCCCACACTTGTCTCGCACTCTGGTTGCCTTGGTCCGCATGAGTCTACACTTGTCTTCCATTTGTCTCCCACACTTGTCTCCCACTCTGGGTGCCTTGGGCCGCATGAGTTTACACTTGTCTCCCACTTGTCTCCCGCACTTGTCTCCCACTCTGGGTGCCTTGGGCCGCATGAGTTTACACTTGTCTCCCACTTGTCTCCCACACTTGTCTCCCACTCTGGGTGCCTTGGGCCGCATGAGTTTACACTTGTCTTCCACTTGTCTCCCACACTTGTCTCCCACTCTGGGTGCCTTGGGCCGCATGAGTTTACACTTGTCTCCCACTTGTCTCCCACACTTGTCTCCGACTCTGGGTGTCTTGTGCCGCATGAGTTTACACTTGTCTCCCACTTGTCTCCCACACTTGTCTCGCACTCTGGGTGCCTTAAGCCGCATGAGTTTACACTTGTCTCCCACTTGTCTCCCACACTTGTCTTCCACACTTTTGCCTCCCACACTTGTCTCCCACACTTGTCTCCCACACTTGTCTCCCACTCTGGGTTCCTTGGGCTGCATGAGTTTACACTTGTCTTCCATTTGCCTCCCACTCTTGTCTCCCACTCTGGGGCCCCATGATTATACACTTGTCTCCCACTTCTCCCTCACACTTGGGTGCCTTGTGCCGCATGAGTTTACACTTGTCTTCCACTTGTCTCCCACACTTGTCTTTCACTCTGGGTGTCTTGGGCCGCATGATTTTATACTTGTCTACCACTTGTCTCCCACACTTGTCTCCCACACTTGTCTAGCACTCTGGGTGCCTTGGGCCGCATGAGTTTGCACTTGTTCTATTCTTTTTGTGCTATACTTACTTTTTTTGTTTCTTTTCCTTCGTTCCCGTCTCCCTACCTTTTTAGCGTTTCTTTGACCTCACTTGTATTCCGTTCCCCCTTGTTGCGACGTCTAGTCCCCCCCGCACTCCAATCCCCGGGGCCCTTCCCATTCCCCCCCTTGCCGGGTTTTTTACTCCCCCTTTAACTACCTCTCCTCCTCCCTTTTCTGTCTCCCCACTTTCATAGTGCATATTAGCGCATACCCACTCCTCTTTCGCGCCTTGCCTTGCACAGTCGATTAGAAGTTTCCTTCTCTACCGGTTAACATCCCAGCTTTTAACCCCCCACTTGTCCCTCAACAATTGTCTCCCTCTCGGGTTGCCTTGGGCCGCATGAGTTTACACTTGTCTCCCACTTGTCTCCCACACTTGTCTCCCACTTTGGGTGCCTTGGGCCCCATGAGTTTACACTTGTCTCCCACTTGTCTCCCACACTTGTCTCGCACTCTGGGTGCCTTGGGCCGCACGAGTTTACACTTGTCTTCCATTTGTCTCCCACACTTGTCTCCCACTCAAGGTCCCTTGGGCCGAATGATTTTAGACCTGTCTCCCACTTGTCCCTCACACTTGGGTGACTTAGGCCGCATGAGTTTACACTTGTCTTCCACTTGTCTCTCACACTTGTCTCCCACGCTGGGTGCCTTGGGCCGCATGAGTTTACACTTGTCTCCCACTTGTCCCTCACACTTGTCTCCCACTCTGGGTGCCTTGGGCCGCATGAGTTTACACTTGTCTCCTACACTTGTCTTCTACACTTGTCTCCCACTCTGGGTGTCTTGGGCCGCATGAGTTTACACTTGACTCCCACTTGTCTCCCACACTTGTCTCGCACTCTGGGTGCCTTAAGGAGAGTTTGAGTTTACACTTGTCTTCCATTTGCCTCCCACACTTGTCTCCCACTCTGGGTGCCTTGGGCCGCATGAGTTTACACTTGTCTCCCACTTGTCTCCCACACTTGTCTCCCACTCTGGGTGCCTTGCGCCGCATGAGTTTACACTTGTCTTCCACTTGTCTTCCGCACTTGTCTCCCACTCTGGGTGCCTTGGGCCGCATCATTTTACACTTGTCTCCCGTTTGTCCCTCACACTCTGGGTTCCTTGGGCAGCATGAGTTTACACTTGTCTCCCACACTTGTCTTTCACTCTGGGTGTCTTGGGCCGCATGATTTTACACTTGTCTCCCACTTGTCTCCCACACTTGTCTCCCACACTTGTCTTCCACACTTGTCTCCCACACTTGTCTCCCACACTTGTCTGCCACTCTGGGTTTCTTGGGCCGCATGAGTTTACACTTGTCTTCCATTTGTCTCCCACACTTGTCTCCCACTCTGGGTGCTTTGGGCCGCATGAGTTTACACTTGTCTCGCACACCTGTCCCCCACACTTGTCTCCCACTCTGGGTGTCTTGGTCCGCGTGAGTTTACACTTGTCTTCCACTTGTCTCCCACACTTGTCTCCCACTCTGGGTGCCTTGGGCCGCATGAGTTTGCACTTGTCTCCCACTTGTTTCCCACTTGTTTCCCACACTTGTCTCCCACTCTGGTTGCCTTGGTCCGCATGAGTTTACACTTGTCTCCCACTTGTCTCCCGCACTTGTCTCCCACTCTGGGTTCTTTGGGCTGCATGAGCCTACACTTGTCTCTCACACTTGTCTTCCACACTTGTCTCCCACTCTGGGTGCCTTGGGCCGCATGATTTTACACTTGTCTCCCACTTGTCCCTCCCACTTGGGTGCCTTGGGCCGCATGATTTTACACTTGTCTTCCACTTGTCTCCCACACTTGTCTTTCACTCTGGGTGCCTTGGGCCGCATGATTTTACACTTGTCTCCCACTTGTCCCTCACACTTGGGTGCCTTGGGCCGCATGATTTTACACTTGTCTTCCACTTGTCTCCCACACTTGTCTTTCACTCTGGGTGTCTTGGGCCGCATGATTTTACACTTGTCTCCCACTTGTCTCCCACACTTGTCTCCCACACTTGTCTTCCACACTTGTCTCCCACACTTGTCTCCCACACTTGTCTGCCACTCTGGGTTTCTTGGGCCGCATGAGTTTACACTTGTCTTCCATTTGTCTCCCACACTTGTCTCCCACTCTGGGTGCTTTGGGCCGCATGAGTTTACACTTGTCTCGCACACCTGTCCCCCACACTTGTCTCCCACTCTGGGTGTCTTGGTCCGCGTGAGTTTACACTTGTCTTCCACTTGTCTCCCACACTTGTCTCTCACTCTGGGTGTCTTGTGCCGCATGATTTTACACTTGTGTCCCACTTGTTGCCCACACGTGTCTCCCACTCTGGATGTCTTGGAGCGCATGAGTTTACACTTGTCTCCCACTTGTCTGCCACACTTGTCTTCCACACTTGCCTCCCACACTTGTCTCCCACGCTTGTCTCCCACTCTGGGTTCCTTGGGCCGCATGAGTTTACACTTGTCTCCCCCTTGTCTCCCACACTTATCTCCCACTCTGGGTGCCTTGGGCCGCATGTGGCCACACTTGTCTTCCCCTTGTCTCCCGCGCTTGTCTTTCACTCTGGGTGCCTTGGGCCGCATGAGTTTACACTTGTCTCCCACTTGTCTCCCACACTTGTCTCCACTCTGGGTGCCTTGGGCCGCATGAGTTTACACTTGTCTCCCACTTGTCTCCCACACTTGTCTCCCACTCTGGGTGTCTTGGGCCGCATGATTTTACACTTCTGTCCCACTTGTCTCCCACACGTATCTCCCACTCTGGATGTCCGGGAGCGCATGAGTTACACTTGTCTCCCACACTTGTCTCCCACGCTTGTCTCCCACACTTGTCTCCCACTCTTGTTTCCCAGACTTGTCCCCCACTCTGGGTTCTTTGTGCTGAGTTTACACTGGTCTCCCACGTGTCTCCCACACTTGTCTCCCACACTTGTCTCCCATTCGGGTTCCTTGGTTCGCATGTACAATATAATTGAAAATTTCTACATCTGTTTGGGGCCAACGCTGGTATAATTTTTTGCCTCGTGTTTTGTGGCGTTGCCCGTGCAAACATTTTTTTCAATACAAGTAGTTTTTTGTTTAGCACCACCAATATTGTATAGTTTGTGCCCTTCGGGTGTGTTTTCGTAATTTACTTTTGGTCCAACGGTCTCGCTACCGCCTGTTTTTGATGTGGTATTGATATTGTTTAGTTTGTGGTGTTGTTGCTTTTGTTTCCGCAACAATTTGTTTAGTTGCGTTTTTTCTTGATGCACCGTGTCTGGTTTTTTCCCAAACCTATCCCAACACTTGTCATCGTGCAATTCGTCGAGCGCTCCCAGGCCGGATTTTTGATTTTGGCCGTGATGAAACAACGAAACATAGCACAACAACATCACATCGGAAGCAAACAAAATCAATGCAATTGGGAATGCAATATCAGAATGTGAAATCGCAGTTGGACCGATGTTCCAGCAATGTCGATGAAACGTTTCTTTGTGATTAAACGTCCCGATAATGTCGTGTTTTAAAATTGTTCCATTCATTGTGCTCAATGGACAACAAAAAATCCTTGCCCCATGAGAACCACAATTACGACCTGTTGTTGGTCCGGTTGGCAACGTTCGAAACTTGGGTCGGATTTATTTGCAATTTTTTGCCGCAACTCTGTTTTGGCCATACCGCAGCTTTTGAACAGACGTAGTTTTGCGAGCTTACAAACATCGAAGCGTCAGACAAGGCATACTCTGCAATGCCTGCAATTTTCGCAATGAACATTTCACGCTCTGGAAAATGCAAAGCACATATTATGTTTGCTCTGAAAATGTCGTCAGGAAAAGGATGATTGATGCGTTCTACATTTTTACCAAAGGCTCGGATATTGAACATGCTTGATGTGTTATTTTTTGTTGAAACACCCAAAAACATTTGGCAGGAGGGTTGCTCCTTTGGTCGACCCAACTTGTCAAGGTGGGTGCAAAGTACAGTGTTGGGTTGAACACACAGAATGTATCATGGTGTTCCGTCTCTAAGGTCAAAGGAAATCCGATCGACCGCTTGATCAAGGAAGTGTTGTTGGAGGACAGATTTGTTTGAAATTTGGATTAGTTGCATTTGACCGTTGGTTTCATTGCAAGGAAAGAGTTGGGGAGACGTTTGCAACGTTGGATTCGTGCGCGAAAAAAAATATGTTCCTTTTCACCATGGCAATTTGTGCAATTTGCAAGTGTTCAGCTCTGGCAGGTACAATCTTAAATGGAAATTATTGAATGAGATGGACCTCTTCTTCGTGGTGGTTTACCAAGGCATCCTTCAGATGGCCTACCTGGAGGCCCGTTTTGTTTGAGTGTTTCGAACATTCATACAAGATAAATAAATCTAAATTATTTGTACATATATATATATATATCTCTCTCTCTGATATATATCTCTGTTTTTAAACAACGGAAACCTTTCACTCTCGTTTGCCTTCTTGAATAGTGCATTCCGGGGGCCATCTCGGGCCAACTGCCAAAATAAACATTTGTGTCAATCTAAGAAAAACCAGTGATGTTTTTCGTTTGCAACATTTTTTCAATGTCTGTGTGTGCGCGCGTGTCTTGCAGCATTTTGTTACTGTGTGGTTATATGGGATACGTTCAATATGGTAAAAATTGCTTTCATAGCCCTGTGGGAGTTCTGCTAATGCCATTTTGTTGACAGGGGCTTCTTTCAATGGCTGCAAAGGAGTTCAATCATCACAGTGCTTGCCTTGGGAGTGGAAATGCCATAATCAGATCGGTGGCAAACAGATCTTCAGATGCTGAACACTTCGTTGCATCAGTGCAGTTTGATTTTTTTTGGAACCGTTCGGCAATTGATTTCTTTGCAGTTGCCAATTTCGGCAGTGGGCTGACCATCAAGCATGTGGATTTTGACCAGGAGCAACTTTGGTATGCTTAGCATTTGCTTAGCATTTGCTTCGTTTGTTTTCCTGCTTTGATGATCAGTGATCAGTGATCAGTCCCCGACCATTGAGGGACCATTCTGCAGGACTTCCTTCGTTGCCGACAAAAAGCGGACAAGGAACTCAAAGAATCCCGCAGACCAGGTTAGACTCCGAGACTCCCAATGGCTTCATCCAGTGCAGACAGTGACAGTGATCACAGTTTTCACACCAAACAGGGGACCAAACATGTAGAGTGTTTGGATGAATCGACTGTGGTCAATGCTATCAGCTATTGTTCAATCTAATGTTGATTGAATATTCAACATTCCAATGTTTTGCCTATAGGTTAAAAATCCCATGGAGTCCGAAATATGAGACACATGGGGAAATAAGCAACAAGATTATTGACTTACCCCCATGTACAGACCTGAAACATCTCCGAATATTTTGGAATGTGGTCGAAAATTGAACACTTCCTCAGTTGCCAAGTCCTTCATAACTCTCAGGGGGCATGCGTTCCTTTGCGGACACAAAGAAGGGCGCCGATGTACAGAAGAATCGAGAGGTTGGGTTTCAAGCAGAGTTTTCTCACGCAAATCTTGCTGCGACTCTCCCAGCAAGTCTCGCGTTGAAGTCGATCTTTGCACAGGAAAAAGGCTTGCCTGCGCCTGCCAAGAAAGGAACTAAGCCCAGTCTATGGGTCTATGGCAGGGTACGGCATGCGAGGCAAGGTATGGCGAAGCATGGTGATGGAAGGCATGTGCAGAGTTCTGCACGTGAGCCGGTGGCTGAGGAAAAAGTGGTGGAGCAGATGGTGACAAAGATGAAGACGATGAGGACATCTGATAATAGATACTTGAAAATTTATCGCTCCAGTGTGCTTGCACCTTGATTGCCTGTCTTTTGCAGTTCTACAGTTTTTGAAGCTGAAATCCATGTCACATACCTAGGTACTTGAGGGTGAAATGATCATCAGCGCGCAGTCTTGTGTACAGATTTCACATGGAATAAATCTGCCAACATAGCGGCAGCAGTTGGTTTTTTGAGCATTGCAGGAAGATGATGCAGCCAAAGTGGCAGAGGCGATGTTGAAAGTAGCTGATCCCAACTCGAAAACCACCTGAACCTGGAAGGCTCGTGCCAAGCTTACGAAGGCCAAAGGAAAGAAGGATGGCAACTCGAAGGAAAAGGACGTGGATTCCTTGGAACGGATCTCTAAAGCATGGCAATGCTCGACTTTTGGTCGACTTTGGGTCGACTTGGTCGACTGGACATGTGACTGGCCATGTTTGGCTTTAGGCCGAAGCTTCTAAGCCTAAGAAGGGCAAGGAGGCGCGCCACTGGGATGGCGGCAAGGTGTCCAAGAGCCTCATGCAGGACCGACACTGCCAGACTGAGCGCCAGACTGAGCGCCTTTGCCTAACACTTCGAGTTTACAATGTGTTTCAGATGTTTTCAGCTTCATCAACTGCCCTAGACAAATCGACAAGGCTTCTGTTCTTGAAATGGAAAGTTGATGGCAGGAGCTTGACTTCTCAAAGAACAAACCTGATGAAGCAGATCTGGCAGCCAAGCAGGTGTGGTCGAGACAGCGGCAGTGGGAAGTGTGGGAGGCATCACTGTGCCATCTGGCTTTGCCAAATTCTGGGCACAGACTGCCTAATGAGTTGGGCCACATTGCCGTTGCAACAAGATGCAACAAGTGTACCGGCCTTGATCCACCCGGTTGCCAGGCCGAATTTCTTGGATCTGGCGACGATGAAGATTTTGATGCAGAGGTCCTCAAACTTCAAACATTACCAGATGTATCAAAGTGTTTTGGGATGTTTTGGGAGTGAGGGAAAAAAAATAATGCCTCGATTTCCTGCTGTAATCGCTGTCAAAGGTGGAGTCACTTTCTTCCGGCTCTGAAGCAGAGGAAGAGAAGAAAGCGTGATGCCGAGTTGGTGTGGAATTCATCTGCTTGGCGCAACTCGCAAATGGACTTGGCAAGGTCTGGGTGTTCTGATTTTGACTCTTTCAGGATGATGGCCGTGTTGGTGGACTTTTCAAATCGCTAACAAGAGGTGTCAAGGCCCGGGACTGAATCTGCAGATTCAGATGTGATTTTGTGGCGAAGTTTCAGAGTGCTGTGGCGCAGAACATCACTGGTGGAGCTGTTCTCACAGAAGAGGACTTGGAGCTGTAAACCCAGACATTTTTTGAGATATGCCATGCTCGTTGTGGTGAGACATGCTTGGGATCTGGCATCTTAGGCCCATTTTGAAAAAGTTCAAGACAGAGCTGATGACAAGGCTGGACGGAGAGTTGTTAGAGGGGGCACTCGCATGAAGTGGCAAGACTTACTGTAACATATAACTTATAAAACTGTATTACAATTTTCAGATGGTTTTTGATCGAAATTTCACTTCTATGATCAAGGAATGTGGCGGCTGAAGTGGCTGACAAGTTATCGGAATCAGAAACTCGGCACTGCTGGGCACTTCTGCACGAGTTGATTGTCCGACTGTATCCGTGTATCCGACTGTATCCGATTGTTCGGGGCGGCTTGTCGGTTGCGTTCGCAACCAAGGTACGAAGGTCTCTTGTCGGTAAGACCACCGGTCGATTCACTTCAATGGCTTCAACGGTGAAACAGGCTCTCAAGGACACAGGGAACAGAAATCACATTGTGCAGACTGCAAGAGCCACTGGATTCCTACATGCATCTACATGCTAATTCATGATGGTTGACCGGTTGACCTTATCAGGTCGTTAGTTGTTTTCGTTTGGGTTTCATTTGAGGTTTGCAACTCTGCAGTAGAGGAGTCCATGGAAACACTCTTGACGCCCAAGAAGTCGATCGATGTGGTGTGGTACTCGGCCAACCCTTAGATTTTTGCTGGACAGTTGATCTATGTTGATCTTGTCAGACAGATTTTGCCGGGTTGAAATCCCCCCTGTCGAGTTGCGAGCAGCGCTGGCCGCGAAGAACGCGGGGCGCGTGCTGCCGGCGTGTTGATGCCCTGCTGTGGCTGGAAACCTGGCACCAACGGCCCTGCAACTTCGGTGTCACAGTCCAGAGTCGAAACCCCAAGCCGAAGAGACCAGCTTTGATCGAAGCACTTTGAGTTCAGGTTTGCACCTTGTTGGCCTTTCATAGAGATTTACCTGACAGGTGTACACAATAGTTTTCCTTGGAGTGAATGGTGTTGGCAAGTCCACCAACCTGGCAAAGGCGGGACCCTTGACTGCAACGAAGAAAAAATCAGGGTGGCCACGTGGCCTCGATGGCATTGGCCCCGGCTGAGGTGGCCTACTACTTGAAGCACAAGGGAGGCCTCGATGCTCTATTCTCAGCTTTTCTCAGCTTTTCTCAGCTTCTACCTGCATAGCCCCTATATATTCCCCAAAAGACCTGGAGACCCTTTGGGAATTTGTGGGGTCCAGTATTCTTGGGCACACACACACGCACATATATATATATATTTTTCTGTACAGACTGCTTGCTTGAGCTGCGACCACTCCACTCCTATTTTTCCAAAACTCATCAAGTCTTGGGGTCTCCCATGCAGCATCTCCCAGTTGAGGTCCTGATTTGCGCCTGCGACACTTTTCGTGCCGGTGCAGTGGAGCAGCTGAAAACTCACTCAAGGTGGACCAGCTGTGCAGGTGTTGCATGCTGTAAGACGAGCAAATGATGAGCAAATGCATGGGGTGTGACGTGCAGGTGTTTGGATGTGCCACTGTTTGAACGTGGCTATGGGAAGGAGCTTGTGGTTCACTGTCATCTCGTGACTTAGTTTGGTGATGTTTGGTGTATCCAGATTTGGAGACCTCATTCAGGATCCAGCTGAAATTGCCAAGAATGCGATTGCTCATGCAAAATCCAATGGTTGGACCCTTATTGCCAGATGCATTTCCATCATTTTCAGATGTCCAAAGTCTCATGACTCATGTCAGCTGAACTGACCTGCTGATGGTCTGAGGTCATGATGTTGTTTTAGTTGATACCGCAGGACGAATGCAGGCACGGCTTGGCACGGCTTGGTACGGCTTGGTACAGCTTGGTACAGCTTTGTGGAGGGGCTTGCTGTGAAGCTTGGCAAACCGAATGTTGTGAACGTACTGCAGCTTGTGACACTTTTGTGCTTCGAGGACAACGAACCGCTTATGCGAGCGCTCGCAAAGCTTGTTGCCATCAACAGTCCTGACTTGGTATGGAATCCCAGAGTCGGAAAGAGTTGGAAAGAACTAAATTCTGCTGTCCAGATGTGCTCAGCGCAATGCCTGATTCTCTTGCCGACTCCGAGGTTCTTTTTGTGGGTGAAGCGCTTGTCGGCAATGATGCCATAGATCAGGCTGGCCAAGAAAGCTGTGCATTTGCCTCATGTTGCCTTTTTGTCGATGAAGATTTCTTGGAAAAGGTTTAACTTTGAGAATTTTAGACTCGAGCTTGGACATAAAGTGGTAGGACAGACAGATTGGAGTGATTGGAGATTGCTTGTAAGTTTCTTTTGGCTCCTACAGGTGACAAAGTTCAACCGATCGCTGGTTGACCTTTCGGCCGATCCGAGGTGATGCTGACGCCGACTGAATTTATTGGTTCCCATGTTCCCCAATGTGGGTGAAGCACGTCTGGACAGGTGAAGTACTGTAGGTCTAGGAGAATGCAAAGATCGTTGCAAACGTATTTTTGGATATTTTTGGATATTTTTGGTTGAAAATTAATGAACATTACCTTACAGCTGTCATGTAGGAACCCTCGCGGCATTGACGGGATGCTGTTAACGAAGTACGACACGGTTGACGACAAGGCAGGTACTCAGCGAGTCAACATGTCCACTGTGTTGTACTTCACAACAGCAGAGCTATCATCTGCCAATCAGCACTCAGGTTGGTGCAGCCTTGTCCATGGTTTACGTGACAGGTTGGGAGTTGACGGATGTAATTTGCTTATGTAGAAAGTCCACCTGAGTGCTGCCACATTGAAGGTCAGCCTGTGGTTTTTGTTGGCACCGGGCAGAAGTGCGCAGCCTGCAAACCTCGACACCACACTGGATTTGGTCGTCACATTCAGCTCGTCAGGTACACACACTTGCGCAAGATGCAAGCAAAGGAGGTAGTCCACTTCTGAGCTCTTGCTTTCCAGAATGATAGGGTTTCCAAACAAAAGACAGGGAGCCCTTCTCATTGATGACTTGGGAAGGGCTCAAACCGCAGTATCTCACATGTTTTTTTTCAGCGTTGTGAACGTTCACAACATATCCTGAACGTGCTGTGCCTAATTTTCTTCTCAGCTTTTCGTGGCAAAAGGCAGTTCCGAATTCTTTGTTTTGATTCACCGGGTTTCTGGAATTTTCTGGTGCCCCCGAGGTGAAGACTCTGCTTGGCTGAGTGCCGATGATGCAAAGGGTGTTTTTCACACCTGCCCTGAGCAGCTTCCCACAACCAAGGTCAAGTCCTTGCATGAGATATACTTCTCACGAATCCATAGTAATCATATGTAATCATATGTATTCATATGTAACATGGTATGCAAAACCTTTTCAAATATGTTTAGTCTCTGGACAGCCTGCTCTTATTCCAAGGATTTGACAGGTTGGCTCCAAAATGCGAGAAGCTAGATTTGTCTCTTGCAGCTGTGCGCAGGGAACAGAATGCCCAGCACGGGAGGAAACAGCAGAAAAGTTACCTGCAGCTTTCAGATTCTTTCCTATGCCTGGGAAAGTGCCAGAGTCTGAGGTTTGTCACGTAAGACATCCATGTCGTGAGTAACAAACATAGTGTGCTGGTGGTTCGATTCTGTGTAAAAGCTGCTCTATGTAAATCCCTCTCTGTGTAAAGGCTTCTGTGTGTAAAATCTTTGTAAAAAACATGTCTTTTGATTCTGACTGTCGCTCAGGTGCCAGCCCTGGAGCAAACCCTCTGCGGGGACAAAAAAGGCATGAAACCGTGGATATGTGACATTTGACTCGCGTCAGCTATCATTCATCATCATCTCCATCGCCATTCATCCTCGTCATCATCATTGTCGTCATCATCATCACCATCATCATCATTTTTCTTGTCTCCTCCCTCCTGCTTTCTTTCAGGCCACGCTGTCGTCTAGCCAAGGGGCGCAACAGGAAATTGGGGGCAGAGACCTTGAGACTCCTGGAAGTGTTCGTACACCGGCCTCACCATGACTGAGAACAGCAACGCTGATGTGGCAAGTCTTGTCACGATTGGTGACGTGGCAGACTTCATTAGTATGGATGGCACTGATGCTCACACAGAAACCTACCGCGGTGCATTCTTCAAGAAGCTTGGACTGACGGGTGCGATGAAGGTTGGCGTGATTGGCCTGATCAAGCAGCCAGACTTTGAAGCGGTGATTGACTCGGTCAAAGTCATGGTGCCCGCCGCGAACGCCGGAGACCCACCGACAGAGAGGAACCTTGCAGTGGCTGAGCTGGGGATTGGTTACTGCATGGGGATAGTGGCGTGAGCCAAGTTGGGCTTGGAGAGTGTAGCTGCAAGTTCCAATGCAAGGCCCTCACGCCTCACGATCCTTCGCATCCTCTGTCACGACCAGGAGGATCAAGCTCAATCAGGTGTTGTCACAACTTGACGAAACAGAGGTGGACATCATCACCGAGGCTGAGCAGATCCGTGTGTAGTCGAGGTACAAAGTCTTGTACGGTTGGGGTCAACGCCCTTTGGCACAGCATGAACCCACGGTGGAGCAATTGTCAGGGTTGAAGGCTTTGGTGGAAACCGGACAAGATCCACACGTGGACTTTGCCATGTTTCAATTTTGGAGCGAGGATGATGAAGCGCACAAAATTGGCGGAATTGGCTCTCGACAAAGTTGGTGGGCTAATGCAGGCAGAAGTGTATGGACCTCCAGACATCGACATGGAGATCATGCTACGAAGTAGGGTCAGCGGCTGCAGTGATGCTAGACCTATTGGATCTTGGTGGCATTTAGACGTACCACATGAAGATCCAGGAGCTTTATGTGAGGTACGGCGAGTGACGCATCTGGGCACTTCTGCCGACGTTCGAGCAAGGTATGAGCATTGGAGCAGAACGAAGTTGAGGTTGGCCCACGACATGAAGACGTCCCCATTCGAGCCATCACGTCCATTTCTGGAGTCATGAGTTGGTGGAGCCTGCGTTGATAGTGTTATCCTGTGGGAAGTAATCTACAGGAGTCAGCGATGATGATGCAAAGATTCAGCCTGCGAAGGAGTCCAAGACCCCAATGGTGACCCTTCACAGGCACAGAATTGAGTCAGCGCCATCATAGCTGGTACACGAAGGACTTCATCTAGAACGGGAAGAGTCCATGATGTGGTTGATGGACGTTACAGCTCAAACGGTACAGGCCACCCACTCTGTGCAGGCTTCCAGATGGGTCACCGCAAAGCAGTGGGCAGATCATGGTGTACGGCTGACCCCAACAAAGCCCACCAGTGCTCACGATGCTTCAGCTCGGTCGGCCCAACTTCGTCAAGACGGGGTATGGTGGTGGATAAGGTGGGAAAGGAAAGTCAAAGGGGGCAAGCGCAGCGCGGCCCCTTATTGACACAGAGATGAGCAAGCTGGACCATGATATTCACGTCGCTTCGCGACGGCAACCGCCCGCACCGCATCGTTGGGCAGCCGCTCGTAACTGCCAATGATATCGGCCATTGAGACCAAAAACATCCGAAAGTACTGATTGTCGGAAAAAAAAACGCGAAGAATTTGATAGCCATGTATAGCGGACCAACGCAGTTCAAAAAATAACGGAAAACATGAAAAAACGGCGAAATTGTTGTTATTTACAGTGTTTTTGCGCGGTGAGAAGCAGAAACCACTGCAAATACCATGGTTTATGAGGGTCAGGTGGCCAAAAACACTGTAATTTACAGTGTTTTTTTAACCAACGTCAAAAAACACTGGTATTTACGATGTTTTCATTCACACCGTAACATAAAACAGCGTAATTTACGAGGTTTTTGGAAGTTTTGAAGCTAGCCGTCAAGCATGCAGAAAACAGAAAAACACTGTAAAAACCAGTGTTTCTGCTATCACAAAACGACGAAAATCAGTCCGAAAACGGGTCCAAAAACTCAAAAATCCGCCTCCGGGCCCGGCCACCTGCGGAACCGCAAAAAAAGATGTTGCAAACCAAAAAATTGAGGTCAAAAAGTTGAAAAACACGGGTTTTTTTCACTTTTCGCTTGCCGATTTTGGACGGGCGCGTTCACGAACAGGTGTCTTCCGTACTGTTTTTTACAGTGTTTTTTGAAGGCGAGCGTCACGACCTATCAAAAACAGGAGGTTTTGGCCGAAAAATGCCCCCCCCCCCAGGTAAACCTGTAACCTTTTATGAGTGCCATCCGGAAGATCACGCCCCAGCACCTTCGGTGCGGGCGGATTTCATTCATTGACTCGCCATTGACGCAACAAGGTGGGACAGTGAATTACAGAGCGCAGGAAGGAGCAAGCCCTTCAAGATTTTGCATGCTGAATTCAGGCAAATGATGAGACAGGTGATTACAAGGCAAAAATGCGGCGACGACTGCTGTATCTCTACTTTGGCCCGGATCGACAGGATTCAGTGAAGCACTACGCAGGCTTGGGATATGGACGAGGCAGACATTGAAGCAACCCCATCAATCGATCTGCTGGATGCCGATCTCTTGGATCCATTAAATACTATGTAAGATTGAGTCTGGATACTATGACGCAGACCTGCGCTGCGAGGTTGGAGAGTGGAGGCCCCAGGCCTTTGAGGGGAAGCGAAGGAGCTGAACGAAGGGGAAGAAAGGGCCTATCTCAAGATGAGTCAGATGATGTCAAGGCTGCAAACATTCTGGCAGATCGCACGGCAGCCAGTTTGGAATGGTTCATTGATCATTGCAAGCGGATCTTAGAACAGCCGGCTCCACGTGAAGGCCAAACATCCATGACGAAACTTGCAGTTGCCAAAGGTGTCTCCCCCACGTTTTACACAGTGCAAGCTCGGCCAAAAGTTTCGAAAGAATACCATTGTCCTGGGTTGGGTTTCGTTTGACAAATGACCGGGCCTTTGTGATCACTCCTGTAGAATGTGGGTAGTTCACTGGAACTTTAGACAACATTGGAGCCCAATGATCAGCTGCAGAGGGCTTGCCGCTTGGGAGGAATTGCAAAAGGCAAAGATGGCGCTGTTGCCACCAATTCCTCTTGCGCCACGGTTGCTTTCGTTGCCGGGACTCATCAAGTTCCAACATCTACGATTTCACTTGCCAAGCCTTCATCCAAACATTCCTCACATGGCAAAGCTGAAGACACGAATCGCCGCCGACGCTGATCTTCATGTGGATCTATATGTACATTATTTGACGAGATCTTTGCGCACCGGTTTTGGAGGAACAATGCTTCTCGCGCATGGTGACGCCACTGCTCCGAGCATCTTCCGTGAAAACATCCATTTCGTGGCTGCAGCCTGATTTACTTGTTCGTCCTGATCTGCATGGCTAGGGGCTAAGCCAAGAACCCACGATGTTTATTAACTCCGCACCTTGTTGATGATATTGCTGGTTTGGTTTTTTTTGCCCAATACGATTTTCTCCACGTTGGACTTGGAATGGCTGGGGCTAAGCCAAGTACCGGTGTGCTGCTGCACTGGCAAAGTCAATGGCTTGGATTTCCCCATGGCAATTCGGTCAAGCAAGTTCACCCAGTACAAAGAGATCGCCGAAGGCATGGATCCGCTCCAGGCTCCCTTGCTTATGGAAGTTCTTGTACCAGGGCTCACACAACAACTGGCTACGAAGAATTGCCCATGGTCGCGAGACCTATGTCATCCCGTTTGACAACAGTGGGACCACGGTCTTCGTTGCCGAACTCGTGAGCCAACTGCCACCTCGCAATATTGACTTCGATCGCCTCGCCGCCTACAGATCTCGCAATCAAGGCACCAACCTCCAACAGAAAGAGGCCACCCAGCAGATGGTGAATTGCCCAGCAGATTCAATCTTAGCTTCCCGCCAAAACGGCAACTGACCCCACTAGCCAACAGAGGATCTTGGAATTGGAGACCGAGCTCGCCAAGGTCAAGGCCGCCCAAGGGGATACTTCTTCCCCTCCAGACCAACCTGGCACTTCGAACACAGCAGGGATGACTCCCATTCAACAAGCACTACACGGACGCTCTCCTTCCACATCTACATTTGATCCATCGTCTCTTTTCGTCGTCCCGGGCACGGTCAACCCATGGCTCGAAGAAAACCAGCCTGCCTCCCTGACGGACACCAACTACAAGAAATGGATCAACGACTTCAAACTCCCTCAACCGAAAGTGGACACCTTGGAAAAGAATTTCCAAAAGGCTTTGCAATTGTGGCCGACCCAACCTGATGCTGCTTCAAAGACGATCCACCGAGTGAGCGTGGCGACGGGCCTGGAACCTCACAGGCTGAAGAACTCCACCATGGACGAGCTGGTCATCAAGATCATGACGGTGGC